TTTTTTTTTTTTTTTTTTTTTTTTTTTTTGTACCGAGCTACATCCTCAGCCCTTCTCTATAAAACAATTATTTTGAGACAAATTCTAGCTGAGTTTGCTAAGTTGCCTCGGCTGGGTTCAAACTTGGTGATCCTCCTGCTTCAGCCTCCAGTATACTGGAATCACAGGAATGGGCCGTAACACCTAACAGCTTTTGATTCAAGAAAATTTTTGCCTGTGAGCTGGTAATTGTGGCACAGTTCTATAATCCCAGCATTCCGAGAACTGAGGTGGAGACTGCAAGCTCAAAGCCCTGCCTGGGCTATGTACTGAGACCTTGTCTCATCAAACAACAGATTCTTTCCTGTGTGTCTACGTGTTTCATTAGACTTAACTCTGAATGACTGGACTACTTCAAAAATTAAAGTTCACACTACTGCTTTATCATTTTTTGCAGAGAAATTCTAAGATGTCCTACATAGTGGTGTATACCAGGAATAATAGATTTATTCCCAAGGTGACTGACACCTGCTCATCTTTTGTATTTTTTCTGAATTTTAGAATTTTTTGAAACCCTTCTGATTTCTCTTTATTCTTCAGTGCCTTTGTCATTCTCTTCAAGGTAATCTCATGCCCTTAAACCTGCAATGCAAGCCCTTTGTGTTCTGGCTGCTGGTTATGTTGCAGCCAGTGTTTTGGTCATTGTATTAGTTTTCTAGCTGCTGCCATAACATACAGAACCAATGGCTTAAAAAAAAAAAGACTATTTTCATAGTTTGGAGGTAGGCATTCAAGAGGGTGTCAGCAGGTCCAGTTTCCTGGGAGGCCACTTTCTGGCTTCTTCCTCCTGTCATCTGCTCTTCCCTCAGTGGCGTCTTTCTGTACATCCAAGCTTCCTGTTCTCTAAGGACACTAATCGTATTGGGTAGAGACCCACTCTCCAGATCTAGGTTTAACTTAATGTTTTGAAAGGGTAGTTTTGTTCTGAGATGCAAGGGTGGGGTACCATTGCAATGTAGAAATTCTTTGGTGGATGACATAATTTAGCCCATGATAGCTATGTTGATTTTGTGGCTGTCACACCATGATATTCCCATTCCTTTGTGAATTTTTTGTTTCCTCTCCAGGGATCCTTTCCTTCTCTCTCCTTTTCTGTGCTCTTTAAGACTGCTCAAATGGGAAGCGTTCCCAACATCCTAAGCCTGCTGGTCCTGTTGTTTCTTCTTGCTTCTGTTTTGAACTCCTTTACTGCACTGTTGCAACATACGTCTCCATCATACTGTAACTGCTTCTCTTACCCACCCGCTTCCAAAACCTTCACACATGGTAGTAAGCTGTTGGCTCCCTGAAGTCCCATTTAACACCATCTGTGGCTTCATGGTTAATAAATTTGGACGGAGGCCTGAAGCTTCACTCTGTGACTTGGGCACATGAATACTGATGATTTGAGGTAACAGACTTAGTGACAGTGGCTATCAGTTCATGGCCCTGCTCGACTCACAGCTTCATCTCCATGATCCCAGGCTCTGGCATCCTGTGCCTTTCTTCTCTCTTCTGTCCCACACACTTTTGACCTCACCTTGATTACATCTGTGAAGATCCTACTTCCAAATTTAATGACATTCATAGGTGCCAGAGCTTAGAACTATTTTTTATTGTGGGGGGACATAATGTAAACCATAACAGCCAATTATTGACTCGCTTAAAATGAATGATTATACAGAAATTTCTGCACATATGAGACGTGTCCCTAAGGCTTTACACCTGAAGTAGGAGGTCTAGAGAAGTGACTGTCAAACAGTTTCAGAGAGAGCCACCTGGAACCTTGAGGCAGCCTCAGTGAGAACAGCTGAGGCCACCATATAATCCACTGTGTCACTCAGTTTATTAGACAGTATAAACTAGCATCTGCTGGACGTAGGTTTCTATTTATATAAAATAAAGGTGTCAGGAAAAGGATTTTCTAAAATTTGGCTTTGTTTATATGTGGAAGAAAGGTGGAAAACTATGTACAGTATATACTTAGATACAAAACTAGAGTGAGGAGTTATTCTGCATTTCCACTATATCTTGGGTGGGACTTTTTTCTTAATTATTTCAGGGACTATACAGTACTTTTTCCTTATAGTTTTCTTACTCCCACAAGAAAAATTGCAAGCTTAAATTTACCTTGCAGCATTTTTGAGTGATCAGTAAGCAAACACAACTACCTTGCAATTATTTTAAAGTAGGGAAGAGGCAGAGAAACACTCATGAAAGTCATGTTGGTTTGGCTTTCTCTTTGCAGAAAAAATACACTTCGCATTTCACCTTCTTAGTTTAGACCTTGGTTCTTCCCAAATTCCAAAGGTGAAAGTATGTTAGTGCTTGCTTCACATCCACTGCACTACTTGACAAGTGAACAAAGAACCTATGGATTCTTCAGTGTTAACAGATCGGTATTTTGATTGATTGTAAACAGTACATTATCACTATGTACAATTATTGACATGAACTGATTTTCCCCCAAGATCCTACTTGAGCCAGGAAAGCTTCAAGAAAGAGATTATTTTTTTTAAATGGATATTCCTGATCATAATTTCAAAGCTGTGAAAAGCGCATTCATGTATGCATGATGACAGCCTTTATTTACAATCCTGGTTAGACATAAAGCAAGCTTCATGATTATTTGCCTTTGTTTTGTTTAGTTTAATTTTCCATTCATTGAGACTTACACTGTTGAAGAAGTAAAAGTTCTTCCAAGAAGTACAGCTGGGTACAATGCAGAGGAGCAGGAGGATGGACCGCAGGGAACTGCTTCAGAAAAGACTACTTTCCCTTGGAATGTGGATGGTGACTTAATGGAAGTTGCCTCAGAAGTCCATGTTAGGTAAGCCTAACTATTCACTGCTTCACGTTGACCAGCAGTCACAACCCCAGTAATTCAGGGAAAGCCCGCTTCTCTCAACTGTCTGAGGAGGTACTTGGTAAATTGAAATACAGCTAATTAGAAGCATAAAAAGACACACAACTTTCAATGAATAGAAAATTATAACTTTACATTTATTTACCAACTCTTATGTAGAACAAAGTCATTTTGTCTAGATTTGAGTCTACTCATGGGCATTCCAAATTATTTTGCATGAGCTATTCAGATACAGGGTTGCATTTTCCATTTTGGATTTTACAAAGTGGATCAAGATCTTGATTAGTCTTCCTCTCACAGGTTTCTAATACCACCACACTTCATGTTTAGCTGTTTTTATCTAACCTTCAAAAGGGATTCAACGTACTTTACAAATGGATGACTTTCTACACTAGCAAGGGCATCTGCTAGGAATGGGTTTAGGCACATGCAAAGTAATTCTTGAGAAGCATGATAACAAAGTGGACAGAAAAAGTGTGCAGGGCACAACCACTAGGTGTGTGTGTTCTGTAGAACTGAGCCTTCTACATAGGTAATGAAAAGTATTCATCAAGGAAGTCAGTTACGGAAGACTTGGAATAATCACTGTTGCTATTTCAGCCCCCTTTGTTTGCAGCTCTACTATGAATACATTTGTTATCTACTTATATGTGGTACCATGTACCTTTCTCATTGGTGTATGTGAAAATAACAGAATGAGAGTTTTATGAAATAATAAATTATATATATTATTTTTTTCAGATTACACCCAGGACTTATCAGTTTCTTTGGAGGAAGCATAGAAGAAATGCATGATTCCAAAGTAACGTGCAATTGTTTATAAAAGAAATATGTAAACTAGCATTTTAATATGGGAGGACTTGGTCATTCTTTAAACAGATATTCTAATAGAAGATGCATCGTTGAAAGAAATTAAAGTTGGTATTTTCGGTGCTACTAAAAAGTAGGTGCCTGTGCTTGGAAAAAAATCAAGATTTAAAATGTAAAAATTCAAATTCCAGCTTTTAGAAAGTGTTTATTGGAAGCGAAAGTAAACACTTCATACCTTTATAGCTATTATCATGAATTATTTCTAACCAAAATAATTCCAAAGCAAAATCATTTGAATTCTTTTACTTTCCAGGATTTAAACCCATCAAGTCTGATGTCAAATTTCCTATAGCCTGGTACAACAGAACACAGATATTTCTTAGGACCATACTAATGAGGTAACTAATCCCCAGGAATAAAATTTCAAAATCGCCCAGCTAATCTTTTACAAAAATCTTTGCAATACATAGGGTTTAAAACTCATCACAGAGGTGAAGTTTATATATATGTAAGATATCTAACTGGATAAAACTTACTAGCTCACCAGGTAACTGTCCTTCCTGTACTAGAAAGGCAATGAGAGCACTTGGCTTTCAGTGTGAACAACCAAATTTTAGTTTCCTCAGAAACCAGAGTTCTCTCAATCTGTGCTTGATTTTTGACAAATGAGCCTAGACATTCTTAAAGAACTAAAATTTTTTAATAGCATAAAAATATATCTGCACAAATATGAGTTATTTAAAATATGTACAAGCAAAACTAAGTTAAAGAGGCTTTGTGCTCAAGTGTCTTCAGAAATTCTGTACATTCCTCCTCTTGGCCCTGGTGACAGCAGAGGTTTAGGGATGTATGACTGATGCGTCAGAAAATCTGAAGTAGACAGCTGACAGCAGCGACTAAGTAAAGCAATATTTTCTCTCATAGTAGAGGCTGCTCTTATGTATCTGATCACTTCCTTGAACAAAAATTTGGACAGTTTTCTTACACATATAAAGAGATCTACATGAAATAAATATTACAAAATGATTACATTTGAAAATGCATTTAAAGTTATTTAAAAATCCAACAAGAAGCTATTTCATTTTAAAATATAACCACCTATAATTTAAAAAATTTTAGCTTCCATTCAAACATCTGATAGAAATTTTGCTGTTACTTTTATATTATTGTATATAGTCTAAATGTGTACTTTCAGTGTAGAGAATGTTTATAGACCTGAGTAAAATATGTATTTGCTTAATTTAGAAAGGTATTTTATGTAGTACCCAGTCTGTCTGAAATATCAGTCCCCTAATCATTTTTGCACAGCTTTTTAAAATTACTAATGAGGTCTAGTTTTCATATTTCTTAAATACATCAGTGTATATTAGCTAAAGTGAAACATTTACAATCTGTTGTTTTAGAATACTTAAGAATTTTTTTATAAACAAAAAATTTCAGGGTGTTTCTTATAATTGACCCCAAGGTACTCTTGATAAATGTGTATTGTAGGAGACTATCAGATTTATACCTGTAGTAGCATGTATGGATGTGTAGAAAAAAGAAAACGCACATAGCTCTGTACTTATCCAGAAGTCTTCCTATTAACCTCAAACCAGTGTATTGTTTCAGTATGAAATTTGTACATCAGGCCTATAATATTCATAGTCTATTGAATAAAATGGTTGCTGAAGTAGAGTCCACAGGAAATGCATTACAAATAAGCCTTTCATGAAAACAGCCCTTTGAAAATTCCACAAAATGATTTTCAAGAACATTTTTCAAGCAAGTCTCAAAGATGTATTTGAAATGAGTCAATGCTTATTTTCCACCTCCAATATTTTCATTTCAAGTTATCTTTCAGGGTTTACGTTTCTTGAGTAAGTTGAAGGCTGTAGTGTTCTTCTACCCATTTAATACTTGCAAGATCATCTTCGGCTGGATTTATAACTTTGGAGCTATTTTCTTTGGAAGAACAGTCAGGGCTTAAATTTTTACCTCAGTGACACAAGGAAATGCACAAAAAAAGTCTGAGGAAAGATTGTTTTCTTGTAAACAGTGTTTTTAGTCTAACCTGAGTCTGTTTTCAGTTCTCTCAATTTGAAAAAAGTCTTTAATCATCACCATCATTGCCTTTGCTGTTGACATAACTCCAACTATCTCTATTTTCGTCTTGGAGGATAGATTTGTATTGTCTTTTAAAGAAGCCAGCCTAAAAAGTAGAATTACAGAGTAACTAATGTATAATTACAAACATGCAACATTCACATTAAATATCCAGTCACTGCCAGTATTTCTTAATGTCTCCTAACATAAAAAACTTGGAGGGTTTTACCCAATGCAGTCAGTAACAATTAGTTTGGGATGTACGGGCTGAAGGCATATACTGGTGAGACACATCCTCCTCCCAAAAGTGGCATTCAACATACGCTGCAGCATTCTGTAAAAGATCATCTTTCAAAGCTAGTGTTATAGCTTTGAATAGTTGTTGAAAATAAACTTTTTCTAGAAAGACTTTACATATTTCTTCTAACTTCAGTACCAATCCATACTACATGCTCACTTAGCGACACGGCTGACATACTTTAATCTGGAACCACAAATTGGCTCTGAGAAAATGAAGAGTGCCATTGTCAGGAGACTGAATTACAACACTAAATTTGGCAATTAGTAAAGGCTTACCTTCCACATAACACAGGAAATCAAAAAAAGTACAACAAATCCAAGTAGCAAACTACTTGAAATAATCACTATGGTGAAATGGCGTTTGGGTTTTTGATGATGTAATCCTTCCAGCAGAACCTATGTGAAAAATTAAGCAAAATAAACAGTTTAGAAACTTCCATTTCCTTACAAATCCTCCCACAACCCCGATAAAATTAGGGACCCACCCTGTTCTCTCTCTGGTTTAACCCCACCCTAGGACCCATGATAATTGCCGCACACTAAACAGTGAGTAGCCTGAGCTTTTCCCATGGTTGTTCCTCCCATTATCACTGCTACCAAATGCACCTCCCTCAAAACTGTCTTTCCCTCCTGCCTGTGAACAAAACGCCACTTTAGTGAAGTGGTCAAGGTCCTTGATGGTCTGGTTACACATTAAGGAAGCGATTATAAATACTTGCACAGTAGGCTTCCTTGCGGTTTTAGCGGACTAGTGACAAAGCTCATCTTACATGTGCTACATTCTCATCCTGGTTTAGTTCAATAACTCTGGGATGGGGCTCTGGAAAAGTTGTTGCTCTTATTTCAAACTTGAGTGCTGATGTGTCATCCTGTTTAAAAAAAAAAAGATCATTGCCTTAGTCAAAGTTTATTTCATAAAGACACTAATAGAAATGATTCCTTATGACTTTTATGTACTTCATCTTCAATTTATTTACTGAAATGCAGTATCTACCATGGTTCCAAAGGTGTAGTCTTAGCATAAGCTTATATGGCATCATTTCATTGAAAAATCTTTTAATAAGCTTAACTATGCTGTAGGTAACTTGATTTTAATATTATTTGATGGACAAAGAAGTAAATTACTAGGGGATGTTACATTTTTAACCCCAGACAAGACTTTCCCCGATAAACATTTCCTCAAGTCCTTCTTAAGTTTTTTTTTTTTTTTTAAATCTGGTACAAATCGTAAAAAATGCAGATCAGTGGATAAACTCAGCACTTCACTACCTATAGCAAGGAGCTTGGGGATCTGTGTATAGGCTTTACAAAGAGAGGTACAGTGTTTTCTTGTGTATGTTAGGATGAGACTTAGATTCTTAAGTTTATGAGCCTTAAAAGTTAAAACTACTTTGTAAAGATTTTTTGACATTTTAGAGCTGGAAATAAATTATTTAGAGCAATATCTAGAGATATCTGTCAGGATGTGGTCTGCAGTACAACCAGTTTCTAGAGGGCAGCAGCTGAGAATGCTGCTCAGTGCTATAGAAGGCACCAGACAGCCCCTAATAGCAAAGAATTATCTGCCCCCAAACACCAGCAGTGCTCACTGTTGAGAACCCTGGGGAATGTGAGATGGCAACTTGCAAAAAGTTAAATGACTTTCATGTGGTCTCAAGACTTTTCAGCACAGCTGAAACTCTCATTCAAAATAAAAAAATCTGAAAATGGCTGGGGATGCAGCTCTGGGTGAAGGCTCTGGGTTCAATTTCCAGTACTGCTGCAAAAAAACCAAAAAACAAAAACCCACTCAACAGCTGCCATGAATGAATCTTTAACACCACTCTTATATTACCTATATTGAGCAGATGAGGAAACTGCAAAGCAAGACTTCAGATAAAGTATGCTTCATAAAAGTAAAATGTCCAATTGGTATTTTTAAATTCAATCCTTTAAATTTCATTAAATATATTTTTGACATTGTTTTGTTATTCTTGTTTTGTTTTGTTTTTTGGTACCAGGGATTGAACTCGGGTCTTTGCGCTTGCAAGGCAGGCCACCAAACCACTGAGCTGAATCCCCGGCCTTGTTTTGTTATTCTTGACGTACTTTATGGTGTAGTTGGATTTATCAAAGGCTTAATTTTATTATATAGCTCTATTTTTATTTTATTTTTTTGGTACCAGGGATTGAATTTGGGACCTTGCGAGGCAGGTGGCAGAACCACTCAGCCAAATCCCCGGCCACACATAGCTCTATTAAAGGTTTTAAAGGATAATTGAAAGCAGTGTGAAAAGAATTTTTAAGCTTATATGAAACATTAAGATAGCTAACTTCTTTGATTTACTTAAGGTTCAGAAACAGTTGGGCATGCTTTCTAATCTAAACTTTATACCAAAGTTTTTGAAGAGCTAAAATGATAAAAATTTTAAATTTTATTCCAAATGATGTGTAACTTATCAAATACCTTCATGCCATGCCACCTGGGTAAGACTGTACTTAGATTGACAACTTCATGGATACATTCATAAAAACAATGTATTTTAGACTTACCACTTCCAGAATGGACGGCCGGCCTTCTAACTGAATGTGAACACTGGCTTCTTTTCCACTTTCCATTTTCCCAAAATTGCATAAGAAACTTAAGCAGTATGGGTCAGCTTTCATGCAGTACTTGAAAAGAATATAAAAGTACTACATTAAAAATTTCAACATTTGCATTTTAAAAAATTTCTTTATAAACATTAAATCTTTTATGACATTTAGTAAGTTATCTTTCTGTAAACATGCCATTAAACAACTGCTTTCTTAGTCATTAAAAATTATTTTGCTTTAAATAAAACACACGCATTTGTCTTGTAAATTATAACAGAAACAAAGCGTTCAAAGGGGAGCATGTGTTCTTGCCATTCTAAGTAACTGAGCTTTCTTGGACACAACATCCCTGCTAGGATACATGTTCTATGCTTCCTGTAAAAGCTGGATAATATGATGGTGATGATTGTTTCCCTAGTTGCCTTCCCCAAACTCACTAAGATGGAGAGAATGAACTCTCCAGGTGACCAGTGTTCTGAGGAAACTGGAATAGAGTCTGGCTGGCAGATGTGAGCGTGTGCTAAATTATGAAACTGTAATCTGCAATTAATGCTGGGTCTTTCCCATTCCTCCAAGCTTTATCCTTTATATGCAGCATTTTGTTTAATCTTTGGTTCTCTCACACCACTCAGCTGGCAGCTCGAGCTCAGGGTTTAATGCCTTTGTTAGCAAAAACTCCAATATGTGATAAACTGAAACTTACCAATACCCTCTTATCAGTCTTTGACAAGAATGTAAAGATGCCTTTCAGGGTCTCCGCAGCATACCGCGGCTGCTCTGTTTCGCATTCTCTCGGATAATTTTCAAACTTGCATTGTCCGGTAGTCATCTGTAAAAGTAGAAAGCAAGAAAAAGGTTACTTTTCAACCTTGGAAAAGAAACACAGCATGGTTTAAAAAGTTCTCATTACTTATGTTTTCTAAAATATATCAAGTTGTTAAATCTTGAAAAATTTGATGGAATAATTTAGGAGAGATTAAATCTCTGTGGCAAAACATGAGCAAAACCCCATCAAAATTGTCAAGGATTGGAATAGGCCCTAAACTGACAGAATGGCCTTATCCTTACAGAATGAGAGATGAGGACAATGACATTTGAGCATTAGCCTGAAATTAAACACTTCATTGGCATTATGTGCAAAAGCAAAATGATAATTCCATGTCCTATCTTAATCTAGAATTCATGTAAGATTTTAAAAATATACCTCTGAAACATTTTCATTTTTATTTTATTTGGTGAGTCCTTTCTTTAATACCTAGAGGTAAAAAGAATTCTGATGGATCAACAAGAGAAAAGTTTTTAAAATTATTCTTGATCTTTCAACAGCAGCTTCGAGCTTTACTGGAGAATTCCACCCACTAAATTAGTTCAAAAAGAAAATCCATCTCACAAAGAAAATGTCTTAATACAGATGGTAGAAGAGAGTTTTATCATTGTAGAAGTCAAACGAAGAGGTCCCACTGTTATTCTATGCTTCTAAAGCAATGATACTATTCAAAGTTTTTGTTGTTGTTGTTTGTGTTTTTTTTTTGGTTTTTTGAGACAGGGTCTCACTATGTAGTTGAGATTTACCTGGAACTCACATGTAGTTTAGGCTGGCCTCGAACTCACAGTGATCCCCCTGCCTCAGCTTCCCAAGTGCTGGGATTATAGGCGTGCACCACTATGCCCTGCTTATTCAAAGTATTAATGCAGGGTAAATTCATACTTTTGAATGAGATGGAAATAAGCTAACAGAAATCACTTTCTTAGCAATACTCCTTAAAGAATCAGATTGCATTTGTTTTAGTATTTAAATCACACCAAAGATACATCAGATAGAAGGAACTCATTTTTACCTGGACATCCAAAATGTTGAAGAGTTTGTCAGTATGGGGAACAAAATAATTTGGAATCATGATTTCCACACTAACATTGGGAGCCATGCTAATGCCCGTGTTGATAACCTGATGAGGAAAAATATTAATTTAAAAATGCTTTCCACACTAACATTGGGAGCCATGCTAATGCCCGTGTTGATAACCTGATGAGGAAAAATATTATTAATTTAAAAATGGTTTTCATCATATAAATACAGAAGTCAGCGAGGTTCTGGGTGACTGAGCAACATATCTAATGGTGGCAGCTTGGTGCGAATAGAGACACAGCAAACAGAAATAAGGTATCCACAGTCAGAATATTTAGTTTGTCAATAAATTCATCATTGTTTTTTAGACTTCTCATTTTAACTTTTTTTTTTCAGCCAAAAGTCCAGGCTTCAGAAAGAGGCCTCAAACATACATTTGCATGCTACGTTATGCACTTTCAAATCTCGGTCACTTGGTCTCATATGCTGGGAGGCGGGTGAACATTTATCAATTGGCAACTGAGGAGAACGCTAAGAAGTGTTCATGATGATCCAATGCTGCAAGTTTACAAAGTGACAAGAGTCCTCGGTACTATGGTTCTAAATCCTGTTATATTTTCTCAGTCACTCCATGCTGAGAGAATAATCATCAGCTGCAAGTGAATAAAAATGTATTTTAAAATGTGTTTTCATTCAGGGTAATTGCAACACTAAATGTATTTAGAAAATGGTAAGGTATGTTAATAAAAGTGCATAAAAGGCTATTTTATGCCTGTTGGTAAATGTGGGGATTACAGATGCCTGAGAGAAGAGGTTGGGCCAAAATGTTGCCTACTGAGAGCTGAATAGTAAAACCATGACAGTAAGTCAGAAAAATTTGCAGCAATGCCCAAGTGAAAAAAAGGGTGACTCACAGACCTTCAGTAATCTTTTGGGTGCCTGTGAAGCAGATGGAGAGATTGTCCCTCCTTTTGGGGTGGGTGCTTAATCACAGAACAGAGCACTTGCAGGAGGAGAGGTCACAGGTGGGTTCCAAACACTGCTCAAGGTTACAGAAAAGGTCTTCTCGGGGCCAAGAAATGATGGGTCTACACTGTGATGAGGCTTTGTCCCTGTTCACCTCATACCAGTCGGACCTCCAACGGCTGCACAAGTGTCACTCCCTTGCATGTTCATTAGAAAATATTTAATGCTGGTATGGTAGTAGGCTTTCTAGGGTCCAACTTAATTCTAGTTTATCAGAGCACAATCGTCCACTGACTTCTAACAAGCATTTCGTGGGACTTCAAAGTGGACTAAACTGTTTCTCAGCATTATTATATACTAGCATAACAAAAACTTGAGAGAGAGAATTGATGGGATGTTTAGCGTCAATCTGTTCAACAGATCTGGGGAAGGCCCAGAAATCTGCACTTTGTGTAGGCATCACAAGTGATTCTGATACTCATTTTGAAAAAATCACCTTAGAAAATAGAATGTACTGTGCCTACTCCAAGACTCCCAGCCTATGGATTATTGTGTAAAAGTGTCTGGACAGTGCTCATGATTCAAAAACTTTTTTTTGCAGAAATTGTCTTATTTATCAATGACACAAAATTTCAGTTTGACAGAGCAGTTTTGTAATTTTATAGCAATACAGTAATATTTCCAGATCATGATGGCATTCTCTATTACTCACTAATAGATAACTCTGCCTGTTCACTAATTGCTACAGTGCTTGTCACAGGCCATAAGCCTGTGCAGACAGGGAAGGAACTTCCTTTTCCTGGTAATGTTGGGGCTATTGTAAAGTTTGAACCAAGAAGAGACCCAGTGATGTCTCCCCTGTGCGCCTCTCCACGGGGGTCAGCCCGCCCCATAACTGCCTGCTGCAGGCATGACCTCTGCAGTGTGTGTGTGAACTGTCCTATCAGACCTGCAGGCTCATAGCTCTTTTGCGAATGGGAAGGGGACCAAGGATGCAGGAAGCAGGGAGGGAAGGGAGGAAAAAGGAAACTAAAAAGAATTAAGATGTGTTAGGTACATGTACAATTCTCTATGATGAGTGTGATCATTATGTCATGCAAATAGAAATAGAAATAGAAATGGGAAGAAAGGCACAGCCTGAGAGGAAAGGGCCTGAGTCCTAGCACAGCAGCCCCTGCAGCAAGTGATGGTCCCTGGGGCCAGGGGCTTCAGAGGGAAGGGAGTGATGCATCAGTAACGTCCTTCCGGTTCCCACAGAACAAACAGTTAACTTTTCTTACATGGAAAGTGAAGTTCATTTTCTCAGTCATGCATGCTGCGGGTTCACTGTCCTCACTGGATCCATACACGAATGAAGTTGGATTCACAAACCTGATACAAAGAAAATCGAAATGAAACTGTCCTCCCCGAAAAGGCATTACAAAAATCTTTCTCTGTACACACATTACAGCATATCTAAGAGGTACACAGGATACTTAACGATTTCTTTGCCTGCCTGGTTTATTTGACCAAGTAGGGAAGTTATGAGGCCATGTGCTTTGAATTGAGTGACAATGTTTTATTCTTTCTTGTATTTTTAACCTTCCCAAGCCTGCCTGCTGCTTCTGCTGACCATTTTATCACTTAAATGATTCATACATATTTTGCAACTATGAGCTATATCCTTAGCTTTCTCTTCAGGCTCTTATACCTAAATCGAATCTATTTTTCAGTTATTTTCGACTCCCAAGTCTGGGGGACAAATCAAGCACTGACACATACCCTCCCTATTCAGTTGGAATGCCAGGCTGGCACTCTCTCACCTGATTTGACGCATGGATGGTCAGCAGTGAACACTGGCTGTGCTCTAGGGAAATCCTACTCCATAAGCTGTACATTTTTGGCAGCTAATATTAAATTATGTCATATTTTAGGGATCCACTAAAGAGGAAAGACATCAGAAATAATCAAATGGTGTATGTAGTCTTTTATCATTTAATTGTTGTAGGATATTCCTTGCCCAAAGTAATTGGACTGGAGAAATAGAGTATTCAGACTAGGAAGATCAAAGAGTGAGAGGTGATAACGTACTCAAAGCCAGGAAACATGCAGGCACCTTCATTTGCTTATCCACGGACCCTCCAGGGTTTTCCTGTAAATGGCCCCTTTTTGCTGTTTTATCTCAAACTTGCCAATTTCATCCATTTTTGATACAGACATTTTACGATTATATACTTAATTATATGGTATCCTTATGAGTAGTTAAAATGATCGCTTATATTTCGGGCAACAAGAAAAGCTCATGTGTCTATCTTATAGCTCTTTAAAAGCTATAGTTTTAAAGACCAGTAGGCCAAATAACTGCCAGTAAAATCATGAGAGATTTAAATCCTCTTTTCACTTTTTTTCCACATATCTTGAAATAGAAAAAAAAAATCCACTCAGCAATTACTAAAGTCACGAAGAAGCAATGAAGGCTAGCATGAGGGCTGGGATTACAGAACTCGATTTGAGGATTTACAGAGTGGCAGGGACACCGGGAGGCCAGCTTGCTCATGTCTCCCATCCACGTGCCACACAGGTAGCTGTGGGTTCCGAGGAGGGGCACTTTTGCCAAGCTCATACTTCTTTGAACTTCACACTCATTGGGGATGTGATCATGCGAACTGCACACTAAGTAACCCCGGGCCCCGCTAGATTGCAGTAAACTAAAGGCTCACTCTGCCTTGCTAGAGCTTCCTGAGGCTCTTCCAGTAAAAAATCTGGGCATGGGTTAGATGTGCTATCAGTGATGATTACAGATTAAAGTAATCAACAGCTAAGTAAGGAACTGTAGCACTGAGATAACTGCTAAGAGACAGAACAGCCTTCTAATTTTTTAATGTTTAAATAGGATTCTCATTACCGGAAGTAGCAGCAAAGGAACTGAAAATCAACTCTAACCTTTAGAAGCCTCCCTCCCTATGTACTTACCCATGAACAGCTAGCATAACTTCGTATCTCAGAGGTATTGCTAAGGTCACTTTGTTGTCCTGCAGCTTGTGCATTTCTCCTTCATTTTCACTGCGGAAACAGAGTATACCCTGTCAGAATCTGTTAAGAAAAATTAATCTTTAGGGAAAGTAATTTCATTCTATGTGTATACACCGCAAATTTCTTTGAGCTTGGTTTAACAAATACTTTTGGAGGAGTAGGGATAAAAGGTGTGGTAGTAGGAATATTTTAGGGCAGATTGGGGAGAAATTTGCTGTCATTTAAGCTGTTATTTACTTATACTGTGAGATAGATGGTTTTCTGTTTTTAAATAGACCAGGTAAGAAAAGGTTTCTTCTACAAACATTAATGCAACACAATTCCATGGTTCCTCAAAGAACTCCCTCAAAATACAGGGGTGCAATTCTTCTTGTACAATTCTTTTTCCACAATAAACTATACCAGGAGGCAAGCACTGTGATGTTGAGGTCCTCTTCTGCTCTGCGGAGTGAGCTCACATCCAGAAGAAAGCTGACATCTATCTGGAAAGCAGAAAAGACCCATTTAAAAACAAAAACTCGGAGTGAGCTCACATCCAGAAGAAAGCTGACATCTATCTGGAAAGCAGAAAAGACCCATTTAAAAAAACAAAAACAAAAATTAAAAAAAAAAAATCTAAAACACATTTTTTGTCATCTGAATTGTAGTTTCTCTTTGTAATTTATTTTCGATAGAATATACCTTTGAAACTGTTCTAGAGGCATAAACTAATTATTGCAGTAAGATGCAATTTTAAAGGGTGAGCTTTCCCACAAGTGCTGTTCAGAGACAAAGCCCCTCTGAACGTAAAGACAGGCAGGTCCAGACGGGCAAAATTAGAAACGCTTTAGCAATCTGAGTGAGGACTCTTGCCAAAAACACCTTTTTTGTGTAGCAGAGGTAACATGCCTGGCAGACAGGGCCACCTGGGGTGGTGTGGGGGGAGTGTTAGCGAGGGGTGCACGGGGGACAGAATTCTGACTGACACATTCCCTTGCCTATCTCGACATAAACATGCGTACCCCCTTTCTAAACTGTGAACGCTGCCAAGAATATAAGCACAAAGCTCAAACATTTCAGGCTCACTTCACTTTGCCTTTCCTGCATCATTTACCTTCCTATTCTAGGTAAAGTGTGTGTGTGTGTGTGTGTGTGTGTGTGTGTGTGTGTGTGTGTGTGTTAGGTAACATAAAGTCAGGGAGGAAAAAGAAAAAAATATATTCCTGTTAGCAAATGAAAACCATCAATGCTCACTTACCCTGGAGAGATGATCTACATATATGTAACCAACAGCGCAGTGGAGTTTGACTGTGCCAGAGTTGTCTGTAACTTCACAGCTTATTTGTTTCTCTTCCTAAGAGGAAAAATGAAATTGGTTTGAGTAGGAAGTGTGTAAGACATTTATAATATATGTTTAGGGATAATTTTGAAAAGAAAGTCATCCCAGAAGTATTTACTTTTCTAAGAAACCATTTTCTGTTTACCCTGGGGATAAATAAGGAAATACAAACCATGTAAATATGTGCATATATTTATATCATAATATTCACCTAAAATCTCCATCGAAAAATTCCTAGCCTTGTGGCTTTTATTCACTTTGGCATATTCCCCCTTATCTGACTTCTCATTGTTTGAAATATCAGGATGCAAGGAATCTACAAGATCTATCCTGTATGCAAAAGTGTACTTGAGATACTTAATCAGAGTAATAACAATAGTTATATTTTAAACATACATTCCCTGAATACCTGGAGTTTCTCCTTCTTCCTTTGAAAAGGCTCCTAGTGCTCTAGAGAAATATGTTCATACATTGTAAAATGTCCAAGTCCTCTCTCTACAGCCCTCATTGTAAAGAGGTGGACTTTGGAAAAGGTATATGTGAATTTGCTGAGCAGTAGGGAATTATTAAAGCAGAAAGCAATGGAGGCTTTCATCTCCGGAATTCCACACTGTTACTGTCCCACTGGTGGGTTTAACTGCCCATGACGGAGGCACAGTAGTAAGCAAAAGCATCCAATTGCTGTGAACTCTTGCAAAAAGGAAAACCGGCCTAAGACCTGGCTGGACACCAGGATTTCTGAATCGACAGAGGACTGCCGCTGACATACTGGGAGTCCTTTAGGAAGGCTTACAGTGTTCATTTTAAATGAACACTGTACCTCTGGGTGCCTGGCGCAGAGGACCAACCAAAAGCAACACTGTCATGACACTTTACATGGGTATGGCAGTGAAAAAAGGGGTGGCAACCAAACAACTCTCTTCTATCACTGGAAGCAGATGCCTTTGGATTTAGAGCTCAAAGGACTTGCCTTTCTGAGCATGGCAATATAAAGTCTTAAAATAGCTAGTACCTCGAGTGACAAGTCTAAATATCACGAGTTATGCTGGAATTACTTATACCCCAAATCCATGTAGTACATGATACCACTTAACATTTTAATAGATTTTTAAGTCAGTCACTAAGTAGTATCTTGCTACTGTGGTTTGCAGTACTTACCAGGTCTAAAATCTTAATGAAGTAAAGCCCTGTAGGTAGTCTGATATGCAGTGTCGTGGCGTAGGCATCATCTCCCGCATTAAACAAGGACACATTTAACATCACTGTCTTCATACTCCCCACAGCAAGATAGGTTTTATTTTCATGTGGCCTAAAAATTAAGTAACTTAGTTCTTATTTAGAAAGTAAAAATTCCATATCCATATAAATAATACTTTATGTTGCACTAAAATATTAATTTTAAAATAACCATGCAATGACTCGTGTACAAGTGAATTTATACGTAGAGTAAAAGAACCAATTCTCATGTTCAGTTGGCCATTTTGTTTCGGATACATTCAGTCATGTATTACTAAAAAATGCTAGTTTTTCAATTGGTTATAATGAATTGGTCTGTATTCTTTTCCAACACTTCTATAATTTTAACATTTTCCTCAGTATTGTACAGTGATTCTAAAGGCAAAGAATTTTTACCTATTTTTTTTTTGTTCAATCTTTGAACAGTCAGTGAAGTAGCCATTGCCCAAACCAAAGCATAAAAAGTGAGGGGAGAGGGTGGTGGGGATTTGGCTCAGTGGTTCTGTCTGCTTCACAAGCACAAGGGTCAGAGTTCGATCCCCAGTGCAAAAAAACCAAACCAAACGAAACGAAACCAAACCAAACAAAAGTGAGGGGGAATAGATGGGAGAAAAGGAGAACGAGAGAATACGTGCAATATTTTGGTAGACACGAAGAAGGCATGGGTCATGACGGCTATGCCCAGCAACAGGGAAATCTGTTGGACAACAATTTCTGAGGCAGACTGATTTACCACATCTACCCAATAACTAGGGCAAATGAGAAACAAAACTGCAGAAATTGTTTACCATCGTCTGAACTTCAAGAAGACTACTGCAAATGCAGAGCTAAATTCAAATTCTAGGACTGCACCAGTTCTTTGGGGTAGGGGTTATTCAGCATTTCTAAGCCTTGGTCACACAATCTGTAATGAGTCACTGCGACCTTTCTGTGAAGATCTGGGTATGAATATTCCTTAAGGCTGAAGGAGCTCAACCAAAGACTATAGCTAGAATGTTACAAAACCCTCAAAGAAATTGCAGATTTCCACACAGCCCATTTTCTTTCCTACTGAGAAACTTAGAATAGCAGAATGCCAAAGAAATCTTTCAGTTACAATATGGTATGACTTTATAAACTTTCCACAGAAACAAAGTCTTAACTAATAATTTAAAAACTAGAAAAATTAGTTCAAATTAGAGGAGATGTGACTCAAAGTAAATAAATAGACTGTAATGAAAAATAACAGATAAACAATCACCTAACACTTTAGAACTTTGAAAGCCTCTTCTATGTTTAAATTGTGTGATTCTGATCACAACATGTGTAGAGATTAATGTTTAAACAAACTATTCATAAAAGTACTAAACAGAAAAGGCATTTAGTTATTTGTGAATTGATTAAAGATAAAGGAACAGTTTAAGACTTTCAGAATTTCTGACAGTAGACAATGAAGATTCAAGAATGACTGCAAACGAAGTCCCTGTGTTTGTTGCTCCCTAATACACATATAAACACTCTTCAACTCTCATGTGGATCTGATACAAAGAAAGATTTGTAAAGTAAATGTTTAAAAATATCATGAACACATGAGAAAGACATGAATGAAAGGCTCTGGGAACCAGAGCAGGAAAACACATTTGCCTGGGGGCAGTAAACCCTTACTGCCTTTTGTTTTTCTATTATACTTTGTTGCTCCCTAATACACATATAAACACTCTTCAACTCTCATGTGGATCTGATACAAAGAAAGATTTGTAAAGTAAATGTTTAAAAATATCATGAACACATGAGAAAGACATGAATGAAAGGCTCTGGGAACCAGAGCAGGAAAACACATTTGCCTGGGGGCAGTAAACCCTTACTGCCTTTTGTTTTTCTATTATACTGATTATTTAGCTGGCTACTCCAAAGAAGATCGTTTTAAAAAAGACAGTCTGGCAAGTTCATGACTGAACCCGAGTTAAAATAGATCGCATCTATAATTGATTTCTCTTTTCCAAATCCTCCTGTCTTCCAATCCAATCAGCATACTGCCAGGGCATTTTCAACAAAGCAAAGCAGTCTGGACAATGCCACCTGCTTGAGCAGCAGCTTCCAGCACCTCCCAGATAAGAGCTCGAAGTCTTGAGCGTGACGTCTGAGCCTTGGGGAGTCGCCCTGCCTCCCTTCCACTGCCGTTCATGCTTTGCCTCAGCCCTACAAGCCGGTGTCCAATGGCCAAGACGCATCGTGTCTGTTCTCTCCCTCTGCCTTTAACACCAGCTCTCCACGCATCTGGCAAACTTGTTCTTTCAGATTCAGTTTGAACATCACTAACTTATTCTTCCAGCCAAGACTCATTGGCAACCTCTAGCATGACAGTCTCCTCCCCAAGCAGAGGAGAAGTGGCTTTTCCCTCTTTTGTGCTTCTGTAAGGCAGTATTTGTGTATGTCTGATTTCTCTGATCACTAGATTGATACCTAGAAGGGAAGATGTTGGACCATGACTATCACTGTATAACCATATGTGTATATGGCACGCATATATAAACAAAGGATTGGGTTATCCTCAAGGGACATGTACAAATCAGAAAATTATCAGATCTTCACTTTTCAAGTTTATGAAATTGACAATATAAAATTTGTCAAATTACAGGTGGAAAGCCATCGTGTACTTGTTCGGTGAAATTCCACAAATATTATTGTTTCATTAAAATAGGTAAATATCTAACATAACCACCTCATATGATCTGCACCCCACTCTACAACCTAACATTTTAGTGGCAACTAAAATACTGAGATGAACATATTTAAATCTTTTTTTTTGTTTTTTTGAGACAGGATCTCACTGTGTAGTTGAGACTGACCTGGAACTCATTATATAGCCCAGGCTGGTCTCGAAATCAGAGCAATCCTCCTACTTCAGCCTCCTGAGAGCTGGGATTACAGGCGTGAACCACCACGCCTAGCCTCAAGATGAACATATTTAACATAATTTAATGAAAGCAAAATTAATACCAGAAAGGTAATATCATTTTCAGAATTACTAATTCCCATAAACCTCAGAATGTGTAAACAAAGTACTAATTTTAGGTACTTTCTCCCAATTTTCTAACTTTAATACCTCTTAGAAATTGGAAAATTCACTTAAAAGTTCTCCTTATTCTGATTTTTCCCACCTTCAAACTTATTTATCAAAACATGTGCAAAGAAAAGCATATTTTCTAAGTGTATCGCTGAGTGGTTTTGACTACATGTGTGAGGCTAGCACTTAGACTGAGAAAAAAAATCACACTTCCACAACCCACAAAATTCATTTTTAATGCTATAAACTATTTTCCTGGTTTTATATTTCATATTAATGGGATCTTAGCATATATATTCCTTCTTCTGTGTATCTGCTCTTTTGTATGTGGCTTCTTTTATTCAAAATTTTGTTTGTGACAGAAACACTAAACTGGCTGGAAGAGAGGGTAGGTAGAACTCTTGAAGACAGTGGCACAGAACGAGATTTTATCAATAAAACCTCAGTTACACGTGAATTAGCACACACACACACACACAAAATCAAGTGGGATGTCTTATTAAAAACTTTTGCAAAAGAAACCATCAACAGGGTGAAGAGACAACCCACAATACGGGAAATTTTCACCAGCTGTTCCTCAGATGATGGTCTACTATCTAGAATACATAAAGAATTTAAGGGGATTTAGCTCAGTGGAGCCACTGCCTGCCTCACAAACATAAGATCCTGAGTTCGATCCCTGGTACCAAAAAAACAACAACAAAAATTTAGGGCCAGTGATTTAGCTCAATGGTGCCACTGCCTGCCTGACAAGCACAAGGTCCTGAAATCCCTAGTACCAAAAAAAAGACCTTAAAAAAATCAGATCGCCCAAATTTAAAGACTCAATCCAAAAATGGGCATCTGAAATGAACACACATTTCTCAAAGAAGTAAAAATAGCAAATAAACATGAAAAACGTTCAACATCACTGGTCATTTGAGAGATGCAAATGAAAACAACAATGAGATTACACCTCAACCCAGAAAGAGTGGCTGCTATCAAGAAATCAACCAATAACAAATGCTGGCAGGGTTGTAGGGAGAAAGAAATCCTTCTCCATTGTTGGTGGGAGTGCAGACTGGTGCAACCACTGCAGAAATCAATATGGAGATAACGCAAGCAACTAGGATTAGAAGTCCCATTTAACCCAGCTATTTCTCTGCTGTTTATCTTCCAAAAAGAATTTTAAAAAATCATACAACAGTGATATATGGTCACCCAGTTTGTAGCGACACAGTTTATAATAGCTAAAATGTGGAAACAGCCCAATTGCCCATCAACTGGAGACTGGATAAAGAAAATGTTTTTTTTTTTAAAAGTGGAGTACTACTCAGCCATAAAAGAATGAGAAATTAGAAACATTCATAGCTAACTGGATGCACACTGAGGCCATACTCAAAATAAATAGGACACACATGTGTAAATACTGAATCGTTTCTTTGGTGTGAAAAACAAAGTGTAAATAAGGACTAAAATTGGAGGAGGGGGTGAAGGGAGGGCAGGGACAAGGGGAAAAAATGAGAACCAAGACCTGTTATGTAAAGGTACAAGATCCCAATGATGAATGTAACTGTACCGTATACCTAAAATGTACCAATAGACTCCATAAAAAGAAAAAAAATAAGGACTAAAATGTATAATTGATAATTTGAAATAAGAAAAGGGGTAAAAGTGAAGAGGAAATGGAAGGGATAGAGGAAAGGAAAGAACAGAATGGAATATGAGAAAATGAAACAATGGAAACAAAGTCTTCGTAAATAGAGAGGGGTGGAGGGGTTAAAGGGAGGTCAGGGGAATGGGGGAAAAAAAACAAGAACCAAGATAGATTATGTAAAGATAATCTTTAAATTTCTAATGATGAAAATCATTATATTGTATACCTAAAATGTACCAGTAAAATTAAAATGTTTGTGTGAGATTAGCCTACACTGGTATTTGTTATTGTAAGGTGCTTATTCTCACTGCTGCAGATATTTCATCTTACAAGACACATTGTAGTTATCCCCACCCAGTTATCAAAGAGAATTTCAGCAATTTCCAGTTGGGAGCTCTAACAGTCTTTTGGTGAACCCACACACAGAATTCAGTTGGGTGTAAGTCTTTCCTTCCCATCACTTCTTATTTCTGGGAGCATACTTAAACCCTGGATTATTTTTTTTTTTAATCTCCAAATCTTGATTTTTTTCACATCTAGCTTAAATTATAGTAACAAGCTAGATATAAACAATAAAAGATATGTGAGAAACTGCTTTCGCGTAACAAAAAATAAAGACAGGCTTACTTTTTTATGGAAATGACACAGCCTATCATACAGCAAGCATCTGCAAGGTGCTGCCTGAGGGTCAAATTCAAACCTCTATTTGTTTTTGTAAAAGTTTCACTAGAACACAGCCACGTTCAGTTTTTCACACTACAATGACAGAGTTAAACAGCTAAGACCGAGATCTGTTCTAAAAAGGTAAAAATATTTCCTATCTGTCTCTTGAACGAAAGAGTTAGGTTGGGCTGCCTCCCGCTATAGAACAATCTGATGAGAATAGCACTGAAACCAACATACAAGGTAATACTGATGTATCTTATTAAAATTTACTTTTAGTTTGACAATGGAGGCCCCTTCATTATATCAGATGCCACAGGATGTAGTCATTTTCTGTCAGAAGGCAGGCAGCATTAAAGAAAGTGACCTCCCAAGCCTTTTTATGGCAATGGTACTGAGGTTTGAACCCAAAGCCTTTTCTCTGAGCTACATCTCCAGCCCTTTTCAGTGTTTAAATTTTGACAGCATCCTAGTCTTTTTAACTCCTCCATGGAGCTCCAGACAATGAAAGGGAAAGAAATGAACACCTCCGTGTGCACCATTTCTAGCTACTGAATCTTAGCTTTTCAAAGTTAGATGTTGCTGGAAGACAGTGTAAGAACAACGTGGTGACTCCTCCAGACCCAGCCATCGTTTTCCGGGTGGAGGAACTCCGCTTGTTAAGTGGGAGCTAGAAAGCATGTGGAACACAGTTGTCTCTAATAATGTTACAATCCGAGGAACTTAAGAGGTTCTAAAAGTAAACTTCAGCTTGACATTAAAGTTTAATTAAGACTTGTGGAAGAGCTGCCTAGAAATAGACATTTATAAAATATTCTGGCTTGTAACCAAAGCATTAGTCACCGAACACCTTTGGGAGAGAAGCTGGCACTTAGACAAGCAACAGAAGGTGAAATCACTGTGTCTGCAGCCAGGATCCAAGACAACAACAAATTAGAGAAAAACACAATGTGCACATTTCAGCAGTGAGACTCCTGGTTTATTTTCCAATTTTAAGCCATTCTGCCACATTACCACGATTAACATTCTACTCTTTAAATGTACATCTTGCTGTATCTTGATCCGTTCACACGAAGCCTGTGGGAAGCTCTCCACCCGCTTTCTGTGTGAGACATAATAAAGGACCAGGTGCACATCTGGACCCGCGACAAGACTCAGCCGGTGCTTTCCCTGGGACGCATAGTTCATTCTTCATTAAAACATGCATAATGCAGACGTGAAATTTACCAAGCAACCTTGAATCCACATACCTTAAACAAATCAAGGCACCATGGACATGCAGAATCATAACTTAATATGTGAAAAACACAGAAAAATGATATATTCCAGCACCAGACTCTAGATTTTTCCTGAGTGAACATCATTTGATTTTGCAAGAAATATTCTGCAAATCTTGGTATAACGAATATACCCTGCTTTGTGAATTAGGGCTTCCTAATAAACTGCTTTTAATCATGATGCTCGAAAAAATATAACAGAAGATGACATATTTCACTGTCCCAACTCATGGTAAATTTATCTGACAAAATGGCCTTGTAGCAAGTTGCCTACAGACCTCAGAGCAATTTTATTCTCTTTCTACTTGACTGTTGACTCCACACACGCACACACACACATACACACACAAAATGAAAACGCTGAAAAATTCTTGCCTACTGGAATAGATAAGTTATCTGACATAGAAAGAAAATGTGTCAAATAAAGGCAAACTCATTGACACTGAGGGGAAGATGACAGGAGAACTTGGACTGGAAGAGTGGAATGGTAACTACCATGTTTCAGGGTATAAAAAACATAATTCATCCTCCCCAGACCATCTGAAGTCAGCAAGCATCTATTCCTACTACCTCTGGTTTAAGAAGGACAATTTCATTACACTAATCCTTGAGGGTTATCAGTACAGGGGCAGAGGTGGATCATTGCCTATTGTCTACCCAACAGTGATTTCTCCTCCTGCTAACAAACCCTGATTATTCAGGCAATAGGCAGCACTTCTTTGATGTTGTTGCAAAAGACAGCTCCAGCTCAGGTTCGAGGACTAAAGCAAGACTAATCCAGGGAGTATATGAGATACAAGTCTGGTTAGTCAGAGAAAGTCTGATAATGTACTTCCCTTCCTGGAAAAGAAGTCTCAAAAAGACTTGGTTCTTGGAATTGTTTTCTTACTTGGGACACTGGTATTACTGCAGCCATATTGTGACTATGAGGAAAAGGCCAAAGGAATGGAAAAGATGGCTGCCAGTGGGTAAGCCTTTGGTAGGTTCTCACACCCTGCAACCTCCTTCCTTCAGAATGCTCATGTTCCAAAACTAAATTTCTTCACTGTTTAAGTCACTTCCAGTCAGGTGTTGTAACCTGCAGTTAAAAGTGTTCCTAATATGAGAGCAATTCTTCAGGGAAAGCCTGCATTGCTTACTCCAGAAGCATGAGAGAAGTATGGAGGAGAAGTAGTGCCATCTATATCATTAAACTGTAAAAATGATTTGACTTTAAGCTGCCCATGCGTTGGCTAACTCTGCTATTATGTAAAGTCGTATTTGCAAATCTTTACTGTGCAGTGGAAATTATCTGAATGTGGTTTATTGTCCTGAGAACTTAATTAAGAGACAGCTCACATAAGCACTGTGCAGGATACTGTCGGCAGATTATTGCGAGCTTTGAAAACTTATTCTTTACTGAGTGAATACATTTACCTAAAACAGATCTAAAGATCTGGGCCACACAAATACCAGTCATGCCAACGGAGATACACCCTGGAGAATGCATAGAACATATGGTCTCAATTGGCTTCCTCTTACTGAGAAGGGGAAGAGGACACCGACGTGGTAGGGGCATGTTTTTGTCTGATAAGAGTATAATTTACTAAAAATGCAAGGTGGTTTGTCAACAGCTTCCACCATGGATCTAAAACCTAATTAGAAGAGTTTTGATTTGAAAGTTCCTCAAATACATTATCGCTTACCCTAGTAGAAATAGCTTGCAACTTTCCTAATTGATGAAAGAGATCCTGGGCCTGCTATTTGATACTGACATTCATGCCACAGCGAATCTCCTGAGACTGAAAACCTTCCAGCCAATCATTGCTAGCAGAGCTCTCAGGATGTAAGCCACACATACAGAATGATGGTCAGAATTCACAATCTTCTATTGCATGAACCTAAAAATGATCATAATCTAGAAGAACCCCTAGCACAACATAGAGAAGTCTCTTGTCAGCCTGGGGCATATGTTCCAAGATCCTCAGTGGATACCTAACTGCAGACAGGCCGAACTGCATGTTTATACCATGTTCCCTGCACACACTACATGGATAACTGCACACACTGCATAGGATAAAGCTTATCTTAAATTAGACATAGTAAAAAAAGAAGTGACAATAACTAAGCAAACCTAACAATATGCTAAAGTTGCTAGCATCACTACTCTTGTGCTTCGGGTCCAAAATTAAGCAAAATGCGATTACTCCAACCCGAGTACTGTGATTCTGCAATGGTTGATCTGATAACCAGGACAGCTACTGATAAGTGGCTGGCACGGTAGGGAGTGTATAACAGGGGCAGGGCAGAGCGGGACAGATAGGGATTGCATCATGTTACTCAGAACCGTGGGCAACACGAACTTTATGAATTATAGCAAATTTATCATTTGCTATATTCAGCTCACAGCTGCCTGCAAGTAACTAAAACTGTGGAAAGTGAAACTATGTATCTGTGTATATACATATATGGTGTGTGTGTGTGTGTGTGTTTTTGTGTATATATATATATGGTATATATATGCATATATGGTATATATATAGTGTGTGTGCATATATATAAGGTGTGTCTTGTGTGTATGTATATATGTGTGCGTTATATATATATATATAAATATAAAATGTGTACTAATAGCCAAATCTAGTACTGAATAAAAAATATATATAATATCTCTCAGTAAAACATTTTTCTTTTCTAATTTTTTGAATGGTGCTAACTCTCAAAGATTACTCTCTTTCTTTGTAACCCATATACATGCATGTATTAGTCCTCAATAAAAAAACAAGAATATCCTAAACTTACTTGAAAAATCCAATTTTTGCAGAAACCTGTAAATCAGCAGAACAATTTTCATGGGCACAAAATCTTGCAAAATTTATCTGAAAAAAAAATTTAGTTTAATCAATAGATACATTTGTGTATAAAGAATAAAGCATCTTTGATACGTGAGGAAGACAAAATTCATACGTCAGATTTGGAACTTATTTCATACTTCCTTCCCTAAGACTTCATTTTTGAGAATTAGTGGCTTCAAATTGGCATAGTAGCAGGGCCAAGGAAACAGTTCTTCTAGGAGATAATTTTAAAGCCTAAATTTGTTAAATGGAATGAGATTTGAGAAAAGTTAAATTAAAGGTACTCTGCAGATAATTGGGGAATATCAGCTGCCAAGACATTCTTAATCAACTTCCTTTACATTTTCTGGTGCTATATTCAATTGTAGCAGATGGGAGGACAGTGATTTTACATTCATTGAAAGTAGCTAAATATAGAAATTGAGAACATTTACTTTGGGGAAACACAGAACGAAATTCTACGGTAGTCTACTGTAAGGGTTCCAGAATGGATTTAGTTGAACACTGAGTAGGACCCATGGATACTACAAGGTACATGGGAAAAACTGAAAGATGAGATGGACAAAAGAAAAACAGGAAATGGGAAGATGAATAATAGGGATGGGTGAAGGAGGGAGAGACACAGAAAAGGGGAAATGTAGAAAGTCAGAGAAGAGGCACGCTCAGAAAGTTAAAGTGGCTGGAGCACCGTCCACATGCCAGACCACAGATGCCCACGTTCAGAGAGAAGAGGCGTAAATCCTCCTCTGTCTCACCAAGTGAATCACATTTGCCCCTGCTACTATTTGTAAAGCAAGTCGTCTGAGGGGCCAAAATGTAGATTAATGTAACTACAAACTGACAGTGTTTTGGATTGCATTCTTGCAAGCCTGATATCACCAAGACATTTAAAATTAGTTGTTCCTGAGAACCGACATTCAAAAGAAGAGCAAAAAATAAATAAATAAAAACTGATTTCCATAAATATTTTCGTATGAATAAAAGAATACGTACCCCTACATTTTTAATGTTTATTTGCTCTAGTATTCTAGACTAGGTAGTGATGATTAAATGCAGCTTAGGTGCAGTATTTTTCTGGACAGAATACGAACTAGACTTTTACCTGTGCCTTTCAACTCTTATATTTGTGGGACATTAGTATTTTAGGGCATGTTTTTTACCATGCCCAAACCCACACCCTGTTGACTGTTTCTCTTTGCATTGCTGGACAGTAAAGTCTGAACCATGGCACTCCTGGAAATAAAGGCACCATCAAGTGAAACAAATATTTTGGGAGTATTTTGAAAAAGCAGTTCACTTAGAAAGCAAGACCCATCTTCAAATACAACTGATCTTGGGAGGTGGCTAAAAAGCATGTGATAACATTTTTAAAAAGAGAAAATGTTATGTTACCTAAGTGTTTATAAATGAATCAAACTCAGACAGACAACTATGATAATAGGAAAACAGACCCATGGACAGGGCAAGAGAGAGAGGCACAGTAAGAGAAAGACAGAAATGACAAAGAGGAAGATGAACTGAGCTCATATGGAGACACTGAATAACCAACTCAAGAATGCAACTTATTTCCATTATGCTTTCTCTCTAGTAATACATTTTCTTCACTAACAAGGCACTGAGGAGAAAAAAACCAAAATTTTATATATATGTATATGGGAAACTACTGTTGTGGCTAAATGCATATTTTAAAATATTCAATTCAATATCCTGAAGGAATATAAAAAAGAAAGAAACATGGAAAACAAGACGTACAATCAATCTGTTTTAAAATATCCATAAAAAGTTTTATAAAGAATTCAGACATGTATTTCATTCCTTCGAAATTATGCCACATTTTAAATAATGCTCTAATCATGTAACATACTGCTCTGAACAAAGGAAAACATTCTTACCACTTTTTTAATCATGTCTTTTTCTTTCTTCTGCTGAAGGATTGGCAGCAGGGGTGGGAATTCTTCTGTACTGCGTTTGCTGATGACATGGTGCCCAAGGTGGTAAGCAGCTTCAATCTGGATTGGGGTGAGGATATCCCGCACATCTTTCTAAGGAAATTAAAAACCGTAGAGTAAATAACAAAAGTAAAGGGCTGGGGATTCAGCTCATGGGTCCGCTGTCTGCTCTGCAAGCAAAAGGTCCTGACCTTGAACCCTGGTAACAACAACAAAATAATAATAAATAATCGCACAAGTGCACACACATACACACACACTGTCCAGAATAAACCCAAACATGATACACAAAAGCCAAAACCAATCTTTATCTTTCATCTAACATGAAAGACACTGGAATGTGAGGCTGTAGAGGTGGTTCAGTGGTACATCTGATGTGCACAAGGCCCCAGGTTCCATCCCCAGGACTACACCAAAACAATTTTAGTGTGTATATTTTTACCCAGCACAGAAGCATTCATGTTTCTTATGACAGCTTCAAAAAATATAAAATTAAAAATTATACCATAGTATTCGCAAAAGTATGCATTTGGTATATTCCCTTCTATTCTGTTAACTACGCTTTTTAAAATAACTTTGTGTGATGATTTTTAATTTAGAAACTCATTTCAAAGTTCTAATCAATGCTTTATTCAACTTTTATTCTTTTAGTAACATCTGGATTCAATATGATTCATTTGATTACATATTTACTGTGAAAGATTTTTTGTTGTTGTTCACTATGGACCATTTCCCATGTCTAACGGATTATGACTAGTATATAAACCATTATTTTATATCTTTGTTTATTGAATGTTATTACTAATTGTTCTAATTTCTTTAGCTTGTTGTCCTTTTATATTTCACAAAAGAAAGAGTTCTTGGACATATTTTTAATTACACAAGAATTATAACCCATTCAGAACCCACTCTGTGCAGAGTGCTATCCTCTTAAATTTAATATCTTATTAATTTCTATACATTTTTCATTCCCATTAATTTTTATGTGCTCAAAAGCATAATTTGAGTAATTTTTAAATTTATTGTCCTCTTACCCCAAAGAAACAAGTCTTAAGTTTATTAGAATTTATTGACAATTCTTTTAATCTTTACTTCTAGGCAAGCATCATTTTTCTCTTTAAAATAATTTTTCCATGAGTTTATAAAAATGATTTTATGATCTTTTCACTTCATCATTTACCAGTCTCCCCACTGGGAGCACCCAATAAACATTAATTAATTAAATAAGTTTTCAACTAAGATAGTGGACTGGAATCTCTAGTTTATGAGAACAGAATTCAGATGAGATATCAAATGCAGTTTGCCATCTCTCAGAAAGCATTGATTCAAGACCTCTCTTGGCAGAAATGTGGTTTCTAAAGTCCCCTGAACAAAATGATTTTTTTTCCTATCTTAAGCGTAGGCTACTAAGATGTTACTAATAAAGTCATCCACTAGTATTTATAAAAATCCAACTGACAAATTATGTGCAATAAGATATGCTGACAACAAAAATTTAAAGTAGAAATGACCTTAGGGTTTGAGGACAGTGCCTAGTCAGCAAATACTGTCGTCCAACACACAGACTAGTGTAATTGTAGACAACTTGTACAGTCTTGATTTTTCCTCGCTATGAGAACTGTTACTACACCCAGAAGATAATTTGAAGAAATGGTCACAGACTTTAATGTCTTTCATACCAACAAATTATATTTAAAGCTCAACTTAACTCCACATTTCATGTGCCCATTTCAATCTGCAGGTTCTCGTTTTAGAGAATGGACTCAGGGCTGGAGATTTAGCTCAGTGTTTCCGCTGCCTGCCTTGCAAGCACAAGGGCCCAAGTTCTTCAATCGCTGGTATAAAAAACAAATAAATAAATACATATGTGTGTGTATGTATATATATATATAGATAGATAGATAGATAGATAGATAGATAGATAGATAGATAGATGTGTGACTCAGGGCTGGAGATTTAGCTCAGTGTTTCCGCTGCCTGCCTTGCAAGCACAAGGGCCCAAGATCTTCAATCGCTGGTACAAAAAACAAATAAATACATATGTGTGTGTATGTATATATAGATAGATAGATAGATAGATAGATAGATAGATAGATAGATAGATGTATTATCTTACACCTGAGATTTATATCTGTGCTTGAGAAGTTCCTCGGGGCAGACCCGTAACACTGACAAACCTCACACTGAACAATGTCAGTGGCAAAGTTCTGATGATCTATAATCATTTACGGATTGGAATATGGCTGAAATATCACTGCCTAAAAGCAAATAAAAATGGCTTACTTTCAAAGCCCATCAATCAATAATCTCTAATGGGCAGGAAAGAATAGGTATTCTATAATTATTGCTTTGTTATTTACACCTACAATAACTTTTGATAAAAATCAATGAAACAAGTAAAGATGACCCACACCTCATAGACTGGATTTATTCTGTCTTTATATAATCGGAAGTAAAAAGGATGCAACTTTCTTCTTACAACGTCAGTATATGTATGTAATGGTTAAGAGCAAGCAGGATAGAGATGGTACACTGAGGTTCAAATCTTGGATGCACCATTTAACCTTGAGTAAGTTACCTACTCTGCCTATGGTTTTAATGAAAACGTGAACAGTGATGGAATAGCGATGATACTTATGCACTATTGTGATGATTAAACAGTGTAGGAGTACAAAATCATAATTTTATACATACCATATGACTACCAAGAAATTATTAAACTTGTTTCTTACAATAAGAAATGCCAGTGAACATATAGAAGGAACAACTGAATTAAACTACTGCCAATCAATGAACAGCAAACAGAAAATGAAGGATATAATAAGAATTAGCCTTCTATTAGTTCAATGATATCTGGCAAATTTGAAGGCTGAATTAGAGTACTCAAACTTTGATTATTTTTCTGTTCTACACAGGGCTGCCTTTATTAAATTACTCGATAAGTAAATGTTTCAACAGGAAACCTTGACCATATAGGAATGCTGCAAACCAAGGTCCAAATCCCAAGTTATCAACTTGTGAAAAATGGAACAGCTTGAAGCCCTGAGTATTACAATAGCAAACTTCATTAAATTATTCCCTAGGTGTGGGAGCTAGACAGCCACTGATTGTCCCTCCACATGTCCACTGTTTTAATTCTCCACAAGCTTGCTTTGACCAAATCACATGTTATCCAATTCATACTAATTTTCCACAAGGTCTTCTCTACATCTGGTGTATATTACTTTCATTATCCTAATTAGCTATTAATTATGCTTTTCTTGCAATATATAAAATGTACGTGCACTCTTGCAAGAACTGTATTTGACAGATATTCACACCTATTTAACTTTAATAGCTCCTCCTAAAGACAAAAGCTGTAACATCAAAAATGTCTTAAAGTAACAAATTAAGAATTTGGGAAGGAAAACAGATTTGCTTAAAGTTTGTTTTTTTTTTAATTTGGATAGGGATGCACTACTATATTAAAAGTAATGAAAATTCCATGCCCTATTTTTATGGACAATTATATAAAACAGAGCACCCACAAGCATGCAAATAAGCACATGCCTGAAATTATACAGTCTGTCTTCTCTTTTGACTTTCATGAAAATCTGTATTTCTGGACAATTTGAGAGCTATTCTCTGGGCCTGTGTCTTCTTACTATGTTTATGTACTGCAGGAATTTGAAGAGTGGGGTTAAAATATGTATAAAATAGTAAATGAAAAATTATCTCAAGGCATAAACGTTTGAAGATTATCTATTCGTGGGTCTGCTGTGTACAAGAAGGGTCTGGGAACACAGAACTGAAAGTACTTATCTCACAGTCTACAACCCATAAAGTCACGTAGATGCGTGGCGAATGGGTGTTCTAACATGTGAATGAGGAAAGCCACCTCGTCTACATCTCAAAAGCCCAAGGGAGGCTCTAATTTAGGATTGTAAGCAAGAAATTTGACTATTATTATGGCTTTGAAATGCTCCTCTGGTGCCAATGAAGGGTTGAGAAGGAAGGAAGGTGAAACCAAGGCACAGACTGAAACCTGAACCAGCAATACAACTTGAAACTATAATCACTTCTAGTACGTTTGGTTGACGTGTAAGGAACTATCCGGCATCTGGGCCCTGTAGTTTCCTGGGAAAAGGTATTCCTCCTTCCAAGACAGATGCCCTAAGCATTATACCACGACAAGACCGATTTTCCCCTCAGAATTGGTACAAAGAATACAGCATCCAAAAATCTGTTAAATATTTATTAGATCTCTGCCCTTGGTAATGAATTGTGCAAGCTCTAACAAGAGGACAAGAATACAAATATGTAAAAGATAATATCCTGTTCCAAAGACATTATGATCCAAAAACAAAAAAACAAAAACAAAAACAAAAAAAGCAGGTGTTACAGCAATCAATTTAATTCTAGAATACTACATCAGTATTTTCAAACAGTTTTCTTGCACTTGGATTTTTCAGGAGTCATGAATTCACATAGTAATCAGTCCAGGGTGTGCTGTGGTTAAAGCATAACTGCTTAGCTATAAAGAATGATAAACCTGACTCATTCCTAGGAAAATGGATGCACCTTAGGACCATAGTGTTAAGTGAAATAAGTCACACACAGAAGCTTATATGGCACATGATTTCTCTTCCTGCAAATCCCAAACGATAAATAAAGAGCAACATAAAAGATAGTATAAAGTAGGGAAAGAGATCTTTCTCAAATCGGAAGGGAATCTCTTGGAGGAAAGGGGCTGAAAAGAGGAAATTAAGAAGTTAGATACCTGTTCCAACTCCACACAAGGAATGTAACATTACGTAAACATATACAAATAAAAATAACTTTAATAAAAAATAAATGCTCGGGAACAAGTGACACCTCATTAAAGTTGCACATTTACTGCTTGACAATATAAGTAAATGGGACAAGAATATAAATAAAACTTAATGATCAAATACACATTTATTTGAAATTATCTTGGAAAAGATGGATTTTAGAAGTTACCTAAAGATGCACATAAAAAGGTAAACCCTCTGTGTTTCAAAAATCCTGAATCAAAGAAAAAAAAAAAAAAACAGAACAAACCAATGTGCTACATAGCCAGGCAGGTTGATTTT